ACCCCTTTGCCCTTCATGTTATTCTCCCAGGGGATCCTGCCCATCTGTTCTCTGAGGGAGTCAAAGTCTGCTTTTCTAAAGTCCAGGGTCCGTATTCTGCTGCTCTCCTTTCTTCCTTGTGTCAGGATCCTGAACTCGACCATTTCATGGTCACTGCCTCCCAATGGCTTTCACAGGAGAAATTGAAAGAAACCCACCACCAAATACCCTATATAGCCTTGTAGTTAGAGCCCTCCTGTGAGATGGGGAGACTTGAATACAAGCCCTTGTTTCGGAGCTGGGATCTGAACCCGGGTTTCCTACATACCAGGTAACTGCACTAACTATTGGACTTTTGGATATAAGGGCAGCAGCAGCTTTTCCTCTGGTGGTTTTGTGAATGACATTTAAATCCCCTGGTGATGTAGGGATATTAAAGAAGGTACTAACAGTAATTCCCCCAAGTGACAGTGACCCTCTCATAATTTGTCCCACACACTTTAAAATCCAACAGTTTCACCAAGTACAAAAATCTCTTGGGTCTTCTGTTAAAACTTGTAAACTACTGTCTGTAGAAACCATTGATTCTATCTATCCTGTGAAAGATACTTTATTACTATGTAAAACTTACAAACAAGTTAATTGACTTTGTTCTTGAAGTAATTGATACCATGTAAACAAACACTATAAGCCGTTAAGTGACTTTCACTTCATTGTAACAGCAACGGTTCCTAGACCCCCACCCTCTGTGATTAAAGGGCCGGGAGTCTCAAATGAATTAGCACACACCCCGAAAGTGGTGGAGACAGTAAATTAAAATATGGTTAAGATATGGAATGTATGTTGATGAATGCTTGATGTACATTAATGGTTAGGGAGGTGCCAGCCTAGAAAGGGAGTATCCATTGGCCGAAGAATGTGTAAAGTGGACCACCTGAACCCCCAGAGGGTAAACTGGGATCCACCCCATCACCTGGAAGGATGAGAAACACAAACTTTGGACAGTTTGGAGCCACCAGGAATGTGCCCAGGAATGTGCCATCTGCTGATTGAGTCAGCAACAGCAGAATGAAACAGTTCCCATAGATTAACATAGGAATTAATTCCTATAAGAATGGACTCTCAAGACTGAGGATTTTGAGTCTCTGGTTCTGCTGCCAGCCTCCAGGAGCATCAGGTGCACCTGACACAGACTTGGCTCCATCCTCATGACCAAGATACCTGGCCAGTAACTTGGCATGAGCAACTTCTAGGCTGGTAACTATAACACCTATACAGAACCTGAATGAATGATTGTGTGATGAATCTCTCTCTCTCTCTATATATATATATATATATA